AAAAAAAAAATTCTATAAAGTTTCTTATATTGTGTTATCTACCTACAAAAGCAGACGTCTATATTACGTACTACTTGGACTCAGTCATCTTTCTAAATTATTTTGATGTCATCTTCATAAGAAGTGAGGGTTTTGTAATTTTGTGGACTTTTATTTTGTGTGAGAATTATTCATTTATCCACAAAAATTGAAGTCTACGTTTGTAATGTGAACTGAATTTACAAGAATCCCTTTGCAGCCGTTGTCGCTTACTGGAAATGCTGTCGTTTGGTGAGCTCAACAAGATAATATTCTAACAAAGAGTTTATTAAAATAGAAAATGTCATTTTCTCTTTATTAAACTCTAATATTATTATAAGAACATGTGAAGCACTGACAGGCACAACTTGAGATATTTTAATTTCATGCTGATCAAATTGACCATGCGAACTCTTAATATACAAAATTGGATGACTTTGACTTGCAATTCTTTGGACCCAAATTTAGACACCTTTTTTTTTAAGTATATGTGTATGAGCTTTGCAGCCTTCCACGTTTCGCCAAATTAATTGGACCAAAATCAAAACAGTGTTCTTATTTGAGTTCAAATCAAACAGATTTATGACATTGATTGTAAATTCGCAAGTTAAAAATTACAATTATTTTTCTGGAACAAAATATATATGTTAAAAAAAAAAAAAAATTCTTAAGGAAATAATACAAGAAAAAAATGTTTTAAAGGAATTTTTTTTGGGTAGTGTAAAAGAATAATTTAAGATTTATCAAAGGAAAAAAACTTGACTGCTTTGGTATAATCCAATGATAAATTTTGGAAAATTGAAAACATCTCTTATCAATCATGGAATGATTGAGAATTGCATTTTCTTTACTCAAAAACTAGATATGACATAAAATAAACCCAATTAATTTCTCTAACTTCAATTAAATTACCACTTGTTCTACATTAATTGCTTCAACTCCTTGATAAATGTTATTATCTCTTATTTAAAGATTAAATTTAATCAAATCTAAATTTGGTTTTCGTGAGAGAAAAATATGTAAACTATACTTATCCTAATTAAAATATAAGATCATGTTCAAGTCATTTCTTCTACAGATATTTCTTTAAACCAGCATTCAATCCTAAATCAGTTTAATTAAGGTATAAAAGGTAAACCGGATTAAGCGTAAATGTTGGTCGCTAATTGGATAACTCACCTAATAATCTAGTCATACTCATACATATCTAGATTATTATTTTTTTACGTGTTGTTTGGTCAGCATGCAGCCTATGATACGTCACCTAATCTTTGTCCACACTTGAATATTTGAAAAGAAACGCCCATCAACTAATCAGCACCCGAATTACGTAAACTCACGTAATGGGGCCACCTAAAACCGTTAATCTCGAAATCCTAACCGCCCTCCAGCTCAACCCTTGACGGTTCAGATTAATACAGCCCATTTATTAATTCCCCAAAGCGCCATGTCACTTTCGGAGCCGTCCATCACGGTTTCCAACTTTCCATTTGCTTAAAATACTCAAATAAATATTTTAAAAATCATAACTATATTAGTGTAAATCAAAATTTACTTAATTACGATTTAAATTTTAAAGAAAAATTCATATTTTACATAATTGAATATTTTTAAAATATTGTATAAGAGATTTGTGAAAGATTTTTTTCTATATTTTACGTTAATATAGGAGTAAAACATCTTGATAAATCATAATAATATCTTAGTTCCTTTAAACTTAAGATAACATTAACTGTTTAACATTTTATTTTCATATATTCCTGTAGTAAAAGATATTTAATTTAGGAGTAAAATCCTGAATAAGTATAATATAATATTTCCCATTTTCTTTAAACCTAAGATAACATTTATATAGGCTACCATCTAATTTTCATATGCCTTGATTAAAAAATATTTTTTACTTTTATTTTGATGGTCTAATCAATATTATATTATCATTATTATTATTATTATTATTATTATTTGAACTTTATAATTTTCTACATAATTATCCAATTTGTGACAAGGTAAGTAACATGTTTTAAAAACCCTGAAATTATGCAAATATAAACATTCTTGAAAAAAAAAAAAAAAAGTGAGCGTTACCCAAAAATAGCATTGTATCTGGAATGTATTTAATTATTATACGAATTTGGGGGAAAATTAATATTCCTTAAAATAAGCAAATACTAATTAATATATATAAAATAAAATAAAGAATTAAAATTAACTTCTTAGAGGATTAGTTTCAAGACCATGAGATGATGAGCGTGACAAAACATATATCATTAATCATTTATTTTAATCTAAAAAATTTAAACGCAGTCGTTTGGGACCACCAATTACGCGACTAATCTGGTCATTAACTTTTTTGATCTCTTCATATGCAACCATAAATACGACTCCAGCGTCTTCATTTTCAATCGTTGAAAATCTCAATTCAGACTCAGATAGGGGAAAAAAAGGGAACTCAGTGGACTTGTTAAAGACTTATTACAAATGGGCCGTCAAAGTGTATATTGTGTACGTATTTCTCTCTTGTTTTCTGTGATTTAATCTTCGTTTTGTTGCTGATCGTTCGTTTCTGCTTAGGAATTTACGACGTTAAGTTCTGGATCTGTTTCTGCTTTCAATTTTGTTGAGTTTGTTAACTTCCTTCTGTGTGATTAGTGTGCTTTAGTTTAGATTTTACGGTGAATCATTTGATCGGATTAGCCTTTTAGAATTTGTAATTGTAGTTCTTGAAATTTACTTCGGTTTATGAAAGAGGCGTATTGTTATGAATTGAAAATATTGAGAGTAACATTTCAGCTGAGGAAGCGTGAAATGATTGCCATTTGAGGGTGATAAGGTATAATAAGTGATTTGAAGGTTGTGAAGTTCGTTTTTAAGATTGCATTTTGGAGAAGAAAATTATGAACTATATTCAATTTAACTATAATGCCAATTTTGTGTCGAATATAGAACGAGCTGTGTTTGGTATGATGGAATTGAATTGGATGGACATGAAGTTTATTTTGTATCATACAGACGAATTATAGGGAATCTCGTTCTGAATTAGGTAGATTGGTTTGAAAAGTAAAGTTATTGTGATTAATGAAGCAGGTAATTATGATCGTATTCTCTTTGTGGATTATTTTTGTTTGCTGTGTTGTACAGAATGCTCATTTAGAATCCCTGTGAATTCTATAAACTAAACTTACAAGGATATGGGAATTTACTTTTTTCGTTCAGAAAATGTCATATGTGTTGGGATTCAGGAAGTGTTTGAGAATTAGATAAATTTGAAACCTGAACTCGTTTCTTTACCTAATTCAGTTCCACTGTTTAGACTCTTAATTGTAGCTTTCTTAAGTGATTGGCTGGGTAATAATTTGCTCTTTTTTTCAGTTGTTTCATGTAGCTGAAAGCATGATTTTGCTGATGCCATAGATTAGAGCTTCATTAGCTTCTAGTCGGACTTGGCTTATAGCTCTCATTAGCTTCTAGTAGGCACTTGGCATTATCCTATAAAATTGTGTCTGTGATATCGTGTTGTTTGTAAGCAGGAACCTAACTAATCATTTTGATAGAAAAATGTTGAAATAGTTTTATTTGTGTGTCAAAACCGTATGAAAATGGATGAGTAATCTATAGGCCCAGTATAGTTTATGTTTTCAGTCATCCCTTCCACCCATTTGTAACATCACCTGTTTGACTCTGAATTTCACAAGTTAGATGATGGTTGACATATGTGTGTGTTGCCATGGTAATTGACCTTAACTCTAGTTGGTCATAGTTTTATAGTTCTGGGCAACAATGGCCAACTAAAATGGTGAATATGTATTTGTACGTGTGTACATATTAACTGTTTTCTGATTACGTAAAAGAATTCATATTACATATTTTGTGGTGATATTTAGTAAAATGAATTTCCAGTAAATAATGTTTACTGTTTTCCTCTGTTCTATACAGTGGTATGATTTGTAAAATATATTGTTGTACAGTCATTTAATATTATTATATGCCACTGCATTTTCTCAGTTCTAGATCATCGTCTATGCTGCTTTACAAGTTACTAGTAAATTGAGTCTTTTGATTAAAATTTCTTGTTTCTATTACAGGTACTATCCATGTATGGACACGTAGAGAAACTTGCAGAAGAGATAAAGAAAGGTGCGTCATTACTGTTGAAGGGTTTGAAGCCCAATATGCAGGAAAAATAGCATTGCTTTATTTGAGCACACTTCTATTTTATTTAATAAACTGCAAGTTTACTGCATGTTTAGTTTTGCTGGGTAATAGTATTGTTTTAACTCATTGCAAGCAACAAATTTAGAGAAGAGGCATTCACTTTTGCAAAAAAAATAAAGGGGCCTACATAATATATGATTTAGATTTCGAATCAGGCTTCCTTCTCACCAAGAAAAAGTTGTTTAAGGTGGTATATTGTTTAGATGGTAGGCCAACCATGGTTGTCTTCCATGCTCAAAATCAGGTATTTTGGGTCAATGACAGGGTCTTGCCTAGTTAGCTGCTTTTGTTTATAAGTATGTTTCCATGAGGCTGTAAGCTTGTTTTTTCTGACACCTATCATTTCATTTATCTTCCCTCATGCTCTCTTAGTATACCTCGGTGTATCATTTGTGAGTTATTGCGTGGCTTTCCCAATCATGCATCTCAGCTGTTTAGCTCTTATTTCTTATACATAATGATGGACCGTATATTTGCTGTTACTTTTGGTTTTTCCATCATGTTTTATCTAAATTAATAGCCTTTACCTTGGATATGCTTACTGTTTATGTTTTTCTTGATTGGCTGAATTTTGTACCATGTCACCCATTCATATTCATTCTTCATTAAAGTTCTCAGTTAATTTGATTGCCAATATGTTATGATTTTCTTCTGCTCTCTTGTTTAAATCAAACTGTAAAATCTAGTGGCTGTGCATTAACAGTTTATTAAAAGTAAAGATACTTTCATGAATTCCTTATTCTGCATTATAGAAGTTGTTATAGATACCCAGACTGATTTTAGTGGGCATGTGGAATAGGTTGCTGAAACGCTGCCAGAGGAGGTGCTCGGCAAGATGAGTGCACCACCAAAGAGCGATGTACCAATCATTACAGCCCAAGAACTTGCTGAGGCTGACGGGTTTGTTTTTGGCTTCCCAACAAGATTTGGTATGATGGCTGCTCAATTTAAGGCATTTATGGATGCAACTGGTGGTCTCTGGAGAACCCAACAACTTGCAGGAAAACCTGCCGGGATCTTCTATAGCACCGGGTCACAAGGTGGTGGACAAGAGACTACAGCGTAAGTTCCTATATCATGGTTAAGTTTTAACTGAAATTACTAAAACTCCTTCAAAACAAGGAAGGAAAACTAACTATTAAATTCTTTTTACAGGTTGACCGCAATCACTCAGCTTGTTCACCATGGGATGATATTCGTTCCCATCGGATACACATTTGGCGCAGGTATGTTCGAGATGGAGAAGATCAAGGGTGGAAGTCCCTATGGTGCTGGAACTTATGCTGGGGATGGCTCGAGACAGCCAACTGAGCTGGAATTGGAGCAAGCTTTCCACCAGGGGAAGTACATTGCCAACATCACAAAAAAGCTCAAGGGAAGTGCTTAAATTTGGATTATATACCAATTACCATAAACACATTTACATTACATGGCCTTTCTTCCATTCTTTTCACATTTAGAATTTGTATTTCCTATATCTCTTAAGGTTTGCAAACAATAATTCCCGCTTTTTTTCGTATATGATTTGTACGCGTGTTATACATACAGTTGTTTTTTCTCAATGGTAAAGTTGTTTCAGGTTGCTTTGTATTCGTAATTTAAGACGAAATATTATTATTAGTGTGAGGAATTGCAAATGTCTTTTGTTTATGTAGAATCTATAATCAATTGGAATTTGCCAGATCAAACCTAAAAACAAGTAAAATATTTATGGTGTGTATATCAAGATATGAGAGATTGTATTAATTGACAGGCACCTAACATCAGGTATGTGTTACTTTTCGTTGTTATATATATTCCCTTAAAATCAACCCCCTTGTACTAAATATTCCAAACACCACTTTCAAGTTTCAACATGTGATCTTGGGTTCTGTATTAGTCAAATCTAAAATGTCAAACTTTTATTCACCTTTTCTCTCTGAAAAAGAAATTTTTGAGGCTTAATTTCAGCACAACATGTTCCGTGTGAAACTATTCAATTATGTACTTTTTTTTCGAAAATAGTACACCAATTCTCTCTACCGTATGTTCAAACTTTTGAGCTTCAATTAGGCGAGGATTCTAATAATGGACAAGAGTCGAGCACCTTTCCATTATAGTTTTCATTTAAATAATTACAAATTTTTTTTTTTCTCTTTTTTATGACAAGGGGTGTTCATGTCGACTTACACGTACCTCAAATAATCTTTCGGGACCTTAAATTTTTTAATAACAACCTCAGGGTGAAACCCAATAAAGTTGTGGGGTCCGAGGTTGACTGGCTTGTCAAACTGGATGACAAAACTTTTAAAATTTAATAAATACACCCCTAAAAATTACAAGTAAGTCCTACAGGTTTAAAATTTAGCAAACACGCCACAAATACAAATCGGTCCATGACTAGTTGGTTGCGACGACACCCCAAATGCAATCCCAATCATCCCTTAAGCCCATTCCCTAGAAAATCTATTCAAGATCTGGTCGAAATTGGTTCGATTTTGGCCAAATCTCACTAACACCGACATCGACATTCCAAGCCAAATCTCACAGACGTCGGTGTCGAAAAACCCTCCTCATCACCCCAATAATACTCCCTTCTTCCTCCCTACCAAAACCCATCTCACCCCACCCCCGTTAGCCTCACTAATCACCAACAAAAGCTGGCTATTGCTGTCGTTGGTTTTTTTCAATTTCCGGTCAATTCACTCACCGAAAATCAACTATGTCGTTACCATTGCACTCAACGGTGCTTTTTTCTTCAAAAGCTCCAACATTCCAACCTTCAATTGTTTGTCAATCATCATCTCAAATTCTAGGATTTTTGGTGAATAGTGAAATTGTTAACTCGGCCTAATGAAGCTCCCGAGTCTTGGTTAAACCGGTTGGATAGGGCCAGGTTTTAAAACACTGTCTGAAATTACCGGTAAGGTAAAAACTTCAATAACTACTCTTATTAACAACCGAAGAAGGACTTAAACTATCAAACCATTCGGTCAACTAAAGGTAGTTAATAACTATAAATCTTGATTATTCATAACCATAATAAATCTTGAATTCTCCATTGGATTGCAGAAGAAGAAAACAGATAGGGCAATGAAATTTTAATGTCATTAATTACAATATCTTTGATAATAATTAATTTTATTCTTACAAGCGAGTATTAGCTTTCTTTATTTTTCTTGAGACATTCACTCAATCATGTTTATATGCTTCAAAACTAAGTGACAAAAAATGATTAGATTGGATTTAGATTAGACTTGACAGCTTTGAAGGTGATCAAATTTATTAAGGTCGTTTTCTTAGAATCAACAAAATTAAAGACAAAATAGTACCTTCCAATGAAACAAAACAAAACAAATCAAATTAAGAGTAAATGACATATTCCCACCCAAGGTTTGACGAAATCCCAAGTTAGTACCATTGATTTCATTTATTTCATATTCCCACCCTTAAAGTGACGGAAAAATGTTTGATATAACGGTAAAGGGGTAAATTGGTCATTTTACATGGGCGGCGCACATTAGCAAACCATCGCCTCTAACAGTCCTCCGGTGCACATTAGCAGTCGTCGTTTCCGATGTTTTTCGCTCTTTTCCAGCGATTCTTCCACCCAAAATCACCCTTGTCACCACCATTTGAACCTTCATCCTCCCCTCTACAAAACCGTACCATTTACAACCCCTCATCACTCGCCAATCTCAGGTCACGGCAACGAAAAACATCCGATGAACACGAACTCTCGGCCGGCAAATGACGACGAAACGGTTTCTAGGGACATAGGGTTTTATAGATTTGGGGACGGTGGTTGCATTGGTGGTGTCCAATTGGATTTTCACCATCGGAATCCGGTGAAGAACACCGAAACCCTAAGCCTAACGGTGCCGGTGATTGGAGGGGCAAATGAGTCGGGAACCAGAGGGGTTTTGGACGACGGACTACGGGGAAGGTGATGGAGGTGCCCAGGGGGTTCGACGTCGTCGAAAACAGCCCAGATCGGGCTGTTTTCGACGAGGGTGTTTTTGATATAATTTAAAAATAAAATGGTAAGTTTTGTAATTCTACTAATTTAGAGGTTAAAACATAATTTATTAATTTAGGGTTAAGAGCATTATGATAATTGTACCCTCTAAACCCTAAAAATTCATAACATTGTTACTTTAAGGGTAAAAATCTAGAATAAATAGAACCAATGGTACTAACTTGGGATTTCATCAAACCTTGGGTGGGAATATATCGTTTACTCTCAAATTAATCATGGGCTAAGAATTAAGAAGCACCTACCCATGCACCTATCACACCAAAATATTTAATTCTCTCATAAATCCTGAAATGGGAATATTTTTCTCGTGCTATGATTTTTTCTAGGAAAATTTGAGTTGAATTTTTCTTTCTTCTCCTGAGTGAAGACTTCAATGTGAAGCACATGATTGACTGATATCGCATTTTACACACCATTCTTCAATAATGGTGTTGGGCAGAAGAAGTGCTTTTTCAATGGGAAATTAATTAGCTAAGCCAAATTGACCGTCAATTACTTTGGTAAAAAGTGCTTCCCAACAATAGTATTGAAACTCATCTTGGAACCAATGTACAAAGAAAAACATAACTAAAGTTTGAAGAGTAACAAGCTTTTGTCATCTTAAAGTCACAAGGAATAGCAGAAGACTAGAGTAGAATAAAAAATGATGAAAGATTTTGTTGCAAGAAATAAGGGTTTGTTATTGAAACACAAGTTTTGAGGCAATGAGTGTATTACTCAAGAGGTTTTGATTTCGAGTGCTAATAAGGGTGACCACTGAAACTCTTATCTAGTCAATAGTTTTAAGATCTCGAGAGATTAGTTGAAATACGCGTAAACTGGCTCGAACACCCTTGGTTATTAAAAAAAAAAAAAAAAGGGTGCAAATGAAAAGTGATAAGAAGGAGAGAAAGTGGGAGCAAGAAGAGATGCTAAATAATAATGAAGTAGATTTGAGAAGAAAGATCTTTTGCTTTTTTATTTTTGTTCTTTCTTTTTGATAGCTTCATCATTAGTGTGCTTATATATATTAAGCTTTTTATTTCTTCCTTCAGATGCCTTCCCTTTAATTTCACTTTATGGGAATATTCTTGAATTAGTCTTCACACTCACTCACACTTTTTTTAAATTAACTTACTCTTTTCTTTTTAATATTAATTACCCAAAGAATATATATATGTCATCTTCAAAACACCAATTTTCAGATGATTTATATGTTGAAAATTAATAATCTTAAAAGAATATTATTACTATTTCATTCAAAATATTACAGAAAAAAACAATAATGGTGAGATTCATTTTATATTAATAATTTAATTAAAAATCTCTTATCATCATTCGTATTAAAAATTGCGTGTTTCAGAGACAAAACTTGCATCAGAAAACATAAAAATAGTGTATTTCTGATGCAAACTTTACATGAAAAAACATAAAATTAGCGTCGGAACACATATAATACCACATAAGATTATTAAATTTGAGGAAAAAAAAAACAAAATAAATAATAGCGATTGATATAAATGGTTTATAGTACTGATATTTTCATATTCAACATCAAGAATAATTTCACCTACTACTACTTTAGTCATATATATAATATTTCATAGCTCTATAAAGTGTGAATTCAAAAACACATCAAAGTTATATATATATATAGGAGATGTGATGATGATGATGATGATAAAATGAGGACCATATAAATATGTGTGAATGGTTTTGACAAGTCCACTGAAACAAAAATACAGAGAAGATGAAGATAATATATTTATGTATGGATAACAAGATGTTAAAAGATGAAAAAGAGCGAGAGAACTCCAAGGGGTTGTCCTGCAGTCAAGGAGTTTTATTTACTTCCTTGAGTTTCTGAGTTCAAACTTTATTAGGGTTACTTACCACAATAACATTATAATTTATATGGTCTTTTGAGCTTATAGGGTGTTCAATGAACCATAAAATTAGTTGAGGTGCATACAAGCTGGTCCGAACACTCCGATTACCAAGAGAGAGAGAGAGCGAGAGGTTGGCGTATCTTAACTCCAATGGAAGGTGGTGTGCATTGGATGAAAAGCACAAAAGCATATTGTGATAGCATCTGCACATTCATTATTTTTTCTGATGTTAAAAATTTTAATAATAAAACCTGAAAGGAGTGAAGTGGGTCACCTTCTGACTTCCCACTAACATATATTCCAAACACATAAACAAATCAAAGTGAAATTTCCAATCAGTCTCATCCCACACTCACTGCTATTCTGGAATTCAATTATTCCTTCCCCTCTTCCCCTTCAACTAGTTGAAGGTTTTCTTAAACAAAAGCTACCTGGCTACCCTATTGCCAATGCACCTCTTTTCAAGAATGTTCTTAATTAATTTATATTTAACCTTGATGATAATGCTACAACAAATTTATCAGAAAATCTATCTCTCTTAACAACTTTCTTTTTCCTAAAATAGAACCCCCCCTATAACCAACCTTTAAAATCATCATAATTCTCAATTATTACAACAATTCATATGCCTCCCATTCCTCCCAAATATTGGGCAAACTTACATCATTTTGCTTGAAGTTCCCCAACAATGGCATTTTCACTTTGAGGGATCAATCTTTTTTTTTTTTTTTTTTTTTTTTTTTTTTTTTTTTTTTACAGATTTC